CCACGCCAGCTGAGAGGCCCACACGTGGCGGCTGATGTAACGCCCGCCCTCCCACACGCCTCGTACCCCGATTAGGGCGGACGCGCCCCGCTTCGAGGAACCGGGGTGCTCCGGGCGGTGCCGCAACTCCGAAAGCGACCGCGCCCCAGCCCGCCGGCTTGAGGCCTCTTCGCAGTCGGCCGCCCGCTACTTAAAGGAGCCGCACCCCCTTTCGGGCCTGCTCTCCGTAGGCCACGCCCCCTCGCTGTTCCCTCTTAAAGGAGCCGCGTCCCCGGCTTTCTGACAGCTCCCGCACAAAGCTTAGTCTTTTCCCCCCCCCAGAAACCAGCGTGAGGCTGCGACCGCTGGGAGGTAAAGGCTAGAGGGCGAGAGTGAGGAAGGAGAAAACATAAGAGGTTAAAGCCCCCAAAGTGTGGGAACATTAGAAGGCTGAGAGTAGTGGGTGAGGGGACTGGTTGAAGGGACTAACGGGCGACACTGAGCATGCCCAAGTGTTACCAAGGACCGCAGAGAAAACGCCCACTTACTCAGCCTACGCGGTGACCGTGGCGGTACCTGGCTTCGTTCCCCGGCTCTGGGGACACAGAAGAATGACACCTTTGACCTGGATGAACTCTCCAGGCAGAGGTGGACCCACGAAACACAAGCAAGCATGCGGCAAAATCGTGTGATGAACATGCTTTGGGGGAACAGTAGAAAGCTGGAAGGCCACTGGGAGGACCAAGGAAGGCTTCATGAAGAGAAAGGCTTTGCGATAGGTTGTGAAGATGGGTGTCATGTACGCAGGTGGAAATGAGGACAAGGGTGCCCAAAGAGGACACGGCTGCCTGAGCTGAAAGACTGAGGCACAGCTTCTGGGATGCTGAGTAGCCACTCCACAGTGGTGACAGTGGCCACAGGTAGCTGGCCTGGGCTCCCAGGAAAAACTAAGGGCCCTCCCCTGCTGCCCCAGCCATCGCAGTGAATGGAGGTTATGCTTTCTCCTCTACCTTCTAAACTGTGAGATCCTTGAAGCCAGGAAAAGAGTCTGTCACCTTTTTATTCGCAGAGGAGACTCTAGGGCTTGGTCCAGACGGATCCTTAAAATTTATTGACCTGCCAGTGTGCTGTTTGAGGGAGAGGAAACCCAGCAAGCAATGAGACTAGAGGTGGCTAGGATCCTGGGACTGTCCTCTCAACAGTCTGTCTTGGGTGACTCACGCAACTCAGACTCAGCTTGTCCCACCCGACTTATCCTGTTCCCCTCCAAACCTGCAGCATCAGTGCCTTCGTGTCTCTGGCCCTGGCTTCCTCCCATTGCACCAGCAGAAAGCAAACTCCTCATTCTCCCTACCTACTCCCAGTTCGGTTCCGCACTCACGTTACCTCCCGTATTTCCTTCAACTCTGCACCTCTCCTCACCCCATTATGTCCTTCTCGGTTGGCTTCTCATTTCTGGTCTGGTCCATTCCAGCAATTTCCCCTCCTCAAAGTCGATCTGCTTTGACACCTTCGGTAGCGGCCACTGCCCGTGGGATAAAGACCCAAATCCCTGGCCCTGATTATCTGTCCATCTTCATCTTGGGCCACTCTCTTACCGGCTCTCTGAGCTCCAGCCTCGGAGCCGTTTCACATTCTGTTTCATCCACTTTGAACCTCTTCCTCGTCCTCCCTCGCTATGACCACTTTGCTTCAATCCTGATCTTTTAAGCATCGCTTCCTCCCAGAAGCCCTCTCTCACTCACTCTCTGACAAGGCCAGGCCTCTCTGCTATAGTGCCTCGTAAAAAAATATTTCTCCTTTAAGCCTTTTATCTCCCACTGTAATATTTAAATATGAGTCATTAGTTTCACTTTCCCCCTAGCCTATAAACTGCATGAGGTTAGAGACCTTTAGTTCTTGGTGCCTAGCTCGGGTCTGGACAGAGCAGACCTGCAAGAAATATTTGTGGAATAAATGAATCTAGTGGTGAGCAGCCTGAAATGCCTGTCAAGCAATTTAGGCCATATCCTGTTCATTGTGGAGAACTATTGGAGAGAGTCAGAGCTTTAGGGCTTTAGGAAGATTAAATGATTATAGGGTTGGAAAATGTGGGGACTTGTAGTAAAGTCGAAAATTAGGCAGAAAGTTCAGAATTTATGGGCAATTATATTTGCCCCATCTTCCAGACGGAAAAAAAAAAAAAAAATTGAGGCTCAAACAGGTTTTATGGATCTTGCTAGAAATCACATACCTACTGAGTGGCAGAGCCAGAAATCCAGCCCAGGGCTACCAGATCCGAGAGCCTGGTGTTAAATGCTAAACTGACTCTGACTTGCTGCTTGTCAGTGGTGGCCCAGATGTGGGTTAGGGACATGTCTGGGGCCTGGGTGTTGAGGCTCTCCGACACCACAGGCATTCAATTGGTGATTTCTGAATGGATGGGTTGGGCCACTTAATAGGAATGGCAGGGCTGGTGCCATGGCCTAGTGGTTAAGGGAGCCAGATCCCACACGGCCAATCTTGGTTCAAATCCCCAGCCCCGATAGCTTGAGAACTGGTCCAGGTGCATGTGCATGCATGCCCCAAATTCCAGTGGGATGGAGAAATGGTGGAAAAGGAATTGTGTCACAACCACGCCCCATTGTAGGGTGCTTTTTCTCTGTCTCTGGCAAGCGTACACACCCTCTGGCAATAATAATAATAATAATATCAGAAATGGAAAAGGCAGGAGAGCTTTTACCCAACTCATTCAGGAGGCCGCCACGAGGCACTCTCCTCTGCCAGTCTGTAAGCTACCTGAAGGCAGGGACTGGCGGTGTAGTTGGTGTTCCGGGCTCAGTCAGTAACAGGCTCTAGTGACTTCCTGGATGTGAGGGGTCCCCTCAGAGCCAGAGGTGTCAAGTCCAAAACGCTGAGTTCGAGTTCTCATGCAGGCTCTTACAGGGAAGCCACCTGGCCTGTCCAAGACAGTCTTTTTCAGAGTATGCTGAGAGAGAAACTCTGGGATAACCTTGAGGAGAACACTCGAGCCTAAGTTCCAGCAGGGAGTAGCCTCCGTTTACTCACCTGAGCAGAGGTATAATCACTTCCAGCCATGAGGCTGCTTTGTTAAAAAAAAAAGAATTATTTAATTTTATTTATTTATTTTTTAGAGAGGTTCTCGCTATAGGGCGCTTGCGTTCACCAGACAGACAGACAGAGACAGAGAGACAAAAAGCGAGAAATCACCCCCCAGAGGGGAAGGTCACGCCGCAATCCCTTCTCCTCCATTCTCCTCTCGGGATCTTGGTCACGCACGCACACACGCCCGGCGTGAGTTTTAAGCCACCAGGTCCGGGACGCGAACCGCGGTCGACTACGTGGGAGTCCAGCGACATAGCCATTACGCTAACTGCTGGTTCCCTTCATTCATTTATTTTTAATTTGACCAGAGAGATACACAGAAAGAGAGAGAGAAAGCAAGCCACAACATCCAGGACTTGAACCGTTGTCGGCCATGTGGGAGTGTCCGGCACCTTAACCAGGATGCCACCAGCTGGTCCCGAGGCTGCTTTTAATGATGTCACCTGCCGTGATTATTGGCATCATTGTCAGTGTTACTCCTTGGCTGAAGAGACTTCAAGAAAGTCGGATCTAAAGTTTACTGCTGGGGCAGAGGTGCAGGGGTGAGCGGTGAGGGGGTATGCAGGGAGTGAGGACAAGGGTGTGATCTTCTGAGGAAGTGTACCCCCCTCTTCTCTAACTGCCCCAGAAGACCAAAGCCATGAGCAGGAACCTCCTTAGGAGGACCCCGAGAGGCAGGGTCTGCCTGGGTGGCTAACAAAGGGGCAATGGCTGTAAGTCTGTCCGTTCTCTGTCCCTGCTCAAAGAAGGAAGCTTTTCAGGAGGCCTGAGTGGCCAGGACAAAGGGCCTAAGGTAGCCAGGAGGTGATTTGCATAGGCAAAGGACTTCCTCCTCATCTCCTCCTCAGCCATCAATGACTTCCTGGGCTTGTGGGTGAGAGGTGACCCACAGATGGCTGTGGGTGGGGCAGAGTGGCTCAGAATAGCCTATGGAGTGGAGTCTGCTCCCTGGGAAGATGAGGAAGTCCCCAGAGGCAAAGCGAAATCTTTCCTGGAGCTGGCTCAATGGAAGCTGAACATCCTTGTCCATCAAACCAAAGGTTTTTCCTCTCTTGAGAGAATTCTTGGCGGTTCTCTGAATCCCAGCCCTCTCCAGAAGCCCTTCCTTCCCTCCCGGTGTGACATTAGACCAATAAACGCCAGCACAGCCTCGGACCTTGCACCTCCCCTGGTGTGGGGCCCCCTCCAGCTTGCCAATCCCACATTGCCTCAGATCCTCTGACGAGACCCCAGGCTGATCTGGAGCCCTCATCCCAGTGCCTCGTCCTCGCTGATTCCCTTTCATTTAAATTTAACCAGCACTTTCTGCAGGCTGAGTCTGGTGCCAGGTGCTGGGCACAGAGTGATAAAGAAAACAGAGTCCCAAGCCCTCAGGGATCTCACTGCCTGACGGACTTATAAGCAAATAAGTGTAACATGACGTGGAAGGACATGGGTAGAATCCTGCACAAAGCGGAAGAGAGGAAGCAATTTACTCGTTCTGGCTGCATAGAGCAGGTGATCCATAGGCCTGGGCCTAAAGGGTCTTAGAATTTCACCTGGTGGACAGGAGGGAAGTACCGAAGAGCGGACAGCCCGAGCCAAGGCACCGAGGCCTGACTGCACATGGTGTGTGCAGAGCTTACGGTCCAAGTGAGTGACATACCAATGAGCCCGGTGCCCCGGAGCCCAAGCAGTGTGGCATCGGGAGGGGAAGGAGCATCCTGGCTTCCTGTGTGCTGATCCAGGCCGGCTCCTCTCCTGGGGAAAGGTTGAAGCCATTCACACAGACCCTGAAGGATTTGGACCCTGGCCCAGTTCTGCGTTCATTTTTTATCTTTTATAGAATTGGGCATCTGGAGAGTCAAAAATAGACCTTTGCCCATTGGGACATGAAGCCCGGAGACCAAGAGATTCAGGGGAAGGGTTGGGAGAAGAGCTGGAAGGAGCTGGGCCTGAGGGTCACCCAGAGATGAGCAGGATGTGAAAGGGGCTGGGCAGGGGGAGGCGGTGAGGCCTGCTAGCTGGTGGTGCAGGGCTCTGCACGAGCTGTTTGCGAGCGCCCCAGGCCAACACCATAGCCTGCCCCGCCTTCCTACCCGCCCTCACCTTCCTCTCTGTTCTTTCCACAGCTCTGGAGGTCTGCAGTCTGAAAGGTACTGGAAACAGAACCTGTGAGTGTGGTCCGGGTCTCCAGAGCCCCACCCCACTGCCACCATGGTAGGAAAAGGTGCCAAAGGGATGCTGGTGAGTACAAGGCCAGGCTGCAATGGGTGGGGTGGTGGCTGGGGTTCCAAGCACTGCCCCCGGGCCTCCCGCCAGCTGCTTGCCTGGACAGGGGCCTGGGTCCAGGCCTGCCAGGGCTTCTGAGTGCCAGGGCTGCCCCAGGCCTAGGCAGACATCCCCTGACCCAGCAGGTAAACAGTGCAGGGTTCCAAGCCCACAGCTGGGCAGGGTCTACCATAGACCGCCCTCAAAGGCCCTCCAAGAGGCAGGAGAAGCAACCTTATCTTTGTCATGAGAGGCGCCCTGGAGAGAAGACCACAGCTTGTCCTTCTGGAAAGACAGTGGAACCTGGGGCTGTGTCCTGGCTAAACCCCAGCACCCCATGCCCACCCAGCCCTCTGCCTCTTGGTGTGTTCATCGTGTGCTGACCGAGGTGTGTGCATAGACCCTCTCTGGCTCCTCTCCATTTCTCAGGTTCCTTCTTACTCTGAAAAGTAACAACATTTGGTTTTTTAATCCCAGTCCAATCCCAAGGCTTCTCAGGTTTCCCTCTTCCCCTTCTCCGAACCCTGGCCCTTCCTTTGCACCTGCTGGGAAGCCCAAGAGAGCTGGTGGGAGGCCCCATGAGAACCAAGGCCTGGGTGAGGTTTTCACAGGAGCAGGACTCTTTCATGGGTGGAACAGGAAGCAGGAAAAAGGTGCCGGATCTTATCCCAAGGGCAATGGTTGTGTTTCTTCTCTTGGGATCTTGCCTCAGGGATGAGTGGACTGGGCAGCTGTCAGGGGCAGAAGCCAGTGGCTGAGTATGGTCATTCCCTCAGTAGCCCTTCCCCTGGGGTTCCTTCTGTTGCTTTTTCGTACAGCTGGAGGTTGCAGTCAACTCCCAGAGCCTGGGGTCTCTGCTGAGCCCTCCCCCAAGAACTTTGTCTCTCACAAAAGATTCCTGGGTGGTGCCAGAGTACCTCCAACGAACTAGCTCTGCTCCAGGCCTGATCCTCTGTCTAGCTGTTCTGAACCTCCAGCATCCAGTCTCCGCCCAGTTTCTCTGCCTGTGCTGGTCTGTCCCCCTCCTGGCTAGAACAAATCTGAATGAACCAAGCTTTTGGAAGGAGTCCTGAGCCACCCGAAATCTGGGTGCTCAGAAATGGGCACAGATGGACGTCTTAGGACCTGAGCCCTGGATAGGTGTGGACCCACCTTTGCCGGAGAAGTCTTGGAATTGCCATGGGCCTGTGGTAGGACGTGGAGTGTGGCTCCCCCTTCCTACCCTGGAGAGTGTGAGCTCTGCGAAACCGTCTGGGTACTCCCTGTTGCTCCTCTTTCTCTGGAGTGACCCTAGAAGGCCTGGGCAGCGGGCAGGGGAGATGTAGGACCCACGTGGGCAGCGTGGAGAGCATGAATCACAGTGTCCCAGAATCCCCTCCTGCGTTGAGCTCCCAACCCTGTGCTCCACCGGCCAGCTCGGCCCACCGGTCTGTGGAAGGGAAGGCTGCCTTGGGACTCCTGTTCCCAGCACCAGGATGTGCCTAAAGATAGCCGAGGCTCGCTTTCCTCCATGCCCTCTGCCCTTTGACTTCTGCCCGCTGTTGCTGCGTTTGAGGCTCATAGCATCTGTCCCAAGGGCACCCCTTGCGGTCACTCGGAGACTCTATTCCTGCCTCTTTTTTGGTTCTGCTGATGACCTTGGGCTACTCTCTGCTCGGGTCCCAGTTGGGGACTGACTCGGCCGCCAGTCAGTGCTGGTGTCTAGGAGACAGCCTGTGAGGTGGACCAGGCCCAGCCCTCCAGCCCAGTCCAGCCCAGCCCAGCCCAACCCTCCACCACAGGCTGCTGAGTGAGCACTGATTCAGTGTCTTCCAGAGGGCAAGTGGCTAAGGAAGTTTCTTCCCAACTCGCTCCATCTTTGGCTGCGGTGGTAGGTCAGAAGAGAGAGCGTTCAGGGGTGAGCGTGTGAGCTGGGGGCGCTCAGATCTTCCTGGGCCGCTGTGGCTCCTGTTGACCCGTCTGTGCTCTGGTATGTGGGGGTCGTCCTTGCTGTAGGATCCTCACTTCTCTCCCCTCGCTTCCCCCCAGGTTTGGGTGTGAGATGACAGGCCCCGGTTTCTTCCGTGTCCATAGACACCCTGTGTCATCCTTGGAGCTCTGCTGGACTCTGGTGCAGGTGCTATGGGGGAGCAAACTGCTTCCCACACGTGCCCAGACCCACATGCCTGCTCCACGTGCCCCCCGCCCCCACTCCCAGCCCAGATGGTCTCTGCCAGGCCAGCTCAGCTGCCTCCCTCACGCCTCAGCAGCTCCCAGGACAGGGCCATGCAGGAACCCAGCTGGCCAGGGTGCCTCCAAGCCTGGGAGCAGCTGGGATGCTCGGGGGCACCCGGGGGTGGGTGGGGTGGTCCTTCCATGGAGACCAAGGCCTCTGTATTCATGCGGGGAGGCTGCCTGGGTCCCAGAGGACAGGGCGCTAGAGGGGAAGAGCCCAGGACAGGGGGCCAGAGAGCCCACTGGCCTGACTTTAGTCCCTCTGCCTCGCACAAATTCCCCTCCTGTGCCGCTCCCCTCATATTGCATCTTGGGCAGAGGAGGCTGTGGTGAGCCTCGCGGGCCTCTCTTCCGTGTCTTTGAGCACGCTGGTTGCTTTTGCCCTCAGGAAGCCTTGTGATGAATAAGAGCAGAGTCACTCGGTCTGGGACTCTGGGCGCCAGAGCATCTGAGTCTCAGAAGGCTTTGCAAGCACCGAAGGCCGCCTGGAGCTGTTCTGCCCTGGCCTGTCTGCTTGTGCTTTGATAGGAGGTTTGGTTGCCTCCTGTCTACAGCATCCACCACAAGGCCTGGCACACAGTGGGTGCTCACCCAGCCCGTCTTGGCATGTAGCGAGTGATCGGTGCACATTGGGCACTCCCTTGGTAGAGGGCCTGTCTCCCTTGGGCTCTGACCTAGCACAGGTCTCGGCATGTGGCAAATGTTTGGCTAGTGCAGACTGGCACACACTGAGTACTTCTTAGCACAGAGCCCATCAGCTGGGTACTCATGGAGCATGGTCCAGGCTCATGGGCCTGTGGCCCCCCTCTTCTGCAGAGCAGGGCAGCGGGTACCCACCCAGCTCACCTGCAGTGGGTTGCCTGGCACAGACTTTGGCATACATGGGGTGCTTCCCTAGTACAGGACCTAGCATGCTGCAGAGTCACACTTGGCATTTGACTGACACACCAGGAGAGCTTGGGCACTCGCCCAGCTCTTACCTGGCACACAGTGGGTACCCTCCTGGCAGAGAACCTGGTACTCTCCTAATAGTGGCACTCTTATCAGAGACCAGAAACACAGTAGGTGCTTTCCTAGCTCAGAACCTGGCATACAATGGGCACTCTCCTAGCACAAAGCTTGACTCACCGTAGGTGCTCTCCTTATTCAGGGACTGGCACATAGTGGGCACTCTCCTAACAGAGACCTGACACACAGAAGGTGCTCTCCCAGCACAGAACCCAGCATACGGTGGGCACCCTGCTAGCATAACCTGGCACACACAGTGGGTGTCCTACTGGCACAGTACCTGATACTATCCAAGCAGTGGCATCCTCCTGGTAGGGACTTGACTCTCAGTGGGCACTTTCCTAGCTCAGAGCTTGCTACATAGTGCATACTCTTCCAGCCCTGGCCCTGGCACACAGCAGCCACTGTCCTTGTGTAAGGCCTGTCCCAGCAGAGGTGTCCCCTAGCCAGGACAGCCTGAGCAATGTGCTGACCTGCATTGTGCAACTGCGCACCCTACCTGGTGAAAAGGACGATACCTGGACCCAGAAGAAAGGGCCCAGCCTCCTTCCGGCTTCCTCTCTGCTCTCCCTCCCCTTCCCACTTTCTCTCTAGCCCACCCACTCAGCCTTGCGGCCTCAATCTCCACACACACACACACACACACACACACACACACACACACACACACACGTATTCACCCCAGCCCCCCCCCCCCCAATGAGTAATGAGTGAATCAAGTGGTTCAAAATTTTACAAAGTTTAAAACAGAGAGAACCCATGCCTAAAATAATTTAATATTTGTAGGTGTCTGGGGCCTTCTGACTCCAGAGGCAAAACTGGCTAGGGGGCAGAGCGTCAGTGAGAGCAGTCTAGGCAAATGTGTTAAGAGCATGGTGATGCTCAATGTAAAGTACTCATTACTCTTGGGGATAAGAGTGTGGCGGGAAATAGAATGACTGGAACGAGAAATCATCCCCTTAACCCCGGGAGACATGGCTTTGTCACGACTCCTCCTCCTCCTCCTCCTCCCCCCCCCTCTCCCCCTCCCCCCCCCCCCCCACACACACACACACACACACACACACACACACACACACACACGGCTTCCCTTCAGCCCTCCCCCACCCCAGCACTTTCCAGTCCTAGCTCAGAGAGACAGTCCCTCCAGAGTCACAGGGCACACAAAGCCCCTCAACTCCTTGGCCCTCTGGAAGTGGGCCCATTCTTATTAAGAGAAGTCAGAGGCGGGGCTGGGGGAGTCGGCCTCCCTAAGTGGGGCTGGAGCAGCTGGATCCCGCTAATGAGGCCTCATTACGGCCAGGGCCCAGCTGGGCTGCCGCCGCCTCCTGTCCCCATGGCCAGAGCCAGGGAAAGCCATCCAGCCAGGGCTGCCTGTTCTGGGCACCCGGCCCGGGCCAGGGCAGCCAGAGCCCAGAGCCCACCCTGGGTGGAAGTGAGCACTTGGGCATCATGGGTGACTGGGCCTTCCTGGAGCCCGTGGCCCAGCCAGGGCCTTGGCCTCGGTCTGTGCCACAGGAAGTCAAGGAGTGTGTCCGGGGACCAGGCTGCATGATGATGGCCCAGTAAGTGGCTGAGTTAGTGGGGTCTGAGGCCATCCTTAGGACACTTGCAGGAGCCAAGGTCTCTCCTCTTTTTGCTCCCAGAATGGGGATAATAATATAACTCCTTCAGGGGACTGTTGGGAGAGCCAAAAGAGTTGCTTTTTTTTTTTTTTAAGAGATTTTTGCAATAGGGTGTATATACTCACCAGA